TAAAAGTTTGATTTCACTGAATACGATGGAGGAAAGGAAGAAAATCAAGAATCATCTTAACATTTGCAAAAACCAGAGCTTCTAAAGCATGGTTTCAGTAGGAATAGGACAAGCACAGAGAGGTCAAGATAAATGTAAAGAGTGATAAAGAAATTACTTCGAGAAACTAGAAATTAGAACGGAAGAAGCTGCTAACCAAAGAGATATGAAGGAGTTATACAACATCACAAAACTTCTAGCTGTCAAGAAATTACCACCTGAAAAATTAAAAACAAAGATGGAGACACGCTCACCACAGTAGAAGACCAAATGACAAGATGGGTAGAACACTTTGAAGAATTGTTAAACAGACCATTCCTTACAGAAACAACAGAAATACCACCAGCAGAGGAATCCCTACCTATTACATTGGATCCACCGACCAAAGAGGAAATTAAGAAAGCAATCATGTTGCTGAAAAATGGGAAGTCAGCAGGATCTGATGGGATACCACCTGAAGCACTCAAGGCGTATTTACAAACATCTGTTGACATGCTTAACCAACTTTTTACAAGAATCTTGGAGGAGTTGATTGGAAGGAAGAATACACAGCCCTAAAAAAGGAGACTTAAACCAGTGCAAGAAGTACAGAGGAATAATGTTGCTCTCAATTTCGGGAAAAGTGCTAAATAGAATTATTTTGGACAGGATGAAGGCAGCGGTGGATAAACTTTTAAGAGACCAGCAAGCAGGCTTCAGGAATAAAAAAAAAAGATCACGCACAGACCAAATAGCCACCTTGAAAATCATCATAGAGCGGTCAGTTGAATGGAAAAGCTCTCTCTCTACATCAATGTTATAGACTTTGAGAAGTCTTTTGACTGTCTAGACAGGGAGTCACTATGGCAACTTATAAAACATTATGGAATTCCAGACAAGTACAACAAGCACATCAAGAACACATACACAGGAATGCAATGTCAGATTACATGGAGGGGGAGTTTCACATAAATATCCGTTTCTTACAGTGTTAGCAATTGATTGAATCATGAGGAAAACAACAGTAGAGAAGAGAAATGGAATACAGTGGACACTCTTAGAACAACTCAAATATTTTGCCAATGATTTATCATTGTTGTCACATACCCACAAGCAAATGCAGAAGAAAACATCAAGTTTAGTGGAAGAAGCTATAAAAATTTGCAATGCAAACAAGACAAATGTGATGAAAGTGAAAATCACCAGTGAAAACAGTATCACACTAGGATGTGGGGTGATAGAAGAAGTAACATCATTTACATATCTAGGCAGCATTGTCGACACAGCTGGAGGGACAGAGCAAGACATTAGAAACCGGATTGGAAAAGGCAAGGACAGCATTCAATTTGCTTAAGAAAGTTTTGAGGTCAAGAGAGATAGCCACGAAAACAAAGATAAAGATTTTCAATACAGATGTGAAAAGAGTATTGTTATATGGATCAGAGACATGGAAGACAATTTCAGAATGCAACAGAAAAATTCAAGCCTTTATAAACTCTTGCCTAAGAAAAATACTGGGAATATGGTGGGCAAACCGGAATAGTAACCAAGAGCTCTGGAAACAAACAAACCAGATATCTCCCACAAATCAGCTGAAGAAAAGAAAATGGACTTGAATTGATCATACACTAAGAAAAGAGCCAGAAACCATCACTAGAAAGGAATTGCAATGGAATCCACAGGGGAAGAGAAATAGAGGAAGGACAAGAAACACCTGGCGTAGAACGTGAGAACAGAAAATGAAGAAGATTGTGCTCAACTGGCAAACCATCACCAGACTAGCCCAGAGCAGAAGAGAGTGGAAATAGACTGTCGGTGGCCTCTGCTCTACAGAGAGTTGAAAGGCTAAAGAAGGTTTGTTCTTCGGATGCTGTATTAATGACAACTATTTAATTAATGCAAACCTGTACTGATTTTCGACGCATTGTGGATATCCGTCAGTTACTAAAAGATGAAAATATTCCACTGTGAAATCTATACCCACAACAGCCCTTATTTCATCTGATGTTGCTTGATCTGATATTGAGCTGCAAATAATAATAATAGTACAATTTACAAGTATGACTGGTAAAGTGGTATAGAATTTTTTACAATAATAATATGTAATTTTAAATATATTTCATTAATTTGCAGGCCGATCGCTTCGTCTCATTTTCCTACTTTGATTTTGTTGTGCACTGTTTTGCATAAGTCATCTTTATTGTTTCTAGTGACTTATCTGAACTATTAATACTCTTACCTTTCAACGATTGTGTGGCTTAGAGTGATAACGTAATCATTTTCGAAATCGTCATTATATGGAATCGATAATGTGTGTTTATTGACGTTTCCTTTCACTCGTTTATACCTATGGATATGAAATATGGTTAGTATAGTTCATCGATATTCATAATCATTTTTGCATATAATCAATCCACAGAACAATGTATTTATTCGTGTTGATTACAAAGTATTCGATCGAAATGCACTATACCATGGTCTTGTTGCGTGGTCATAACTATTGCCCAATTGTTGACCAGGGAATATTCGGAAAACACCATTATCTGTGCCGATGAAATACGCAGTTATGAATTGTCTTGAGTCATACTGGGATGCATTTTTCCATATTTCTTCGGTTATGGCTGTAGCAACTACTGCGGCTCGCACGGATTCCTTTATATTGTAACAACGGGATAAAAATGCTCTTTATTATCGAATAATTTAACACGAAATTAGTCACATCCTGTAAACAACCATACTTATTTACCTTGAACAAATCTGATGGAATATGACCAGTAATATCATTCATATACTGTGTATAAAGCTGGACTATATTTATGTCTTCTTCATTTGATATATAATACTTGGGGTCTCTAAAGGCGTCAGGGCTGAACTTCACTGTAGAATGGTCTGTAGAGGAAAAGCCAAAACACCATTATATTTTGTAATCCGGATGTGTCGCCTTTTTGAAATATCAGCAGGTAATAGTAAAGCAGTTGTCTACCACCAAAACTTGACGTGTACAGTATGATTTGTTTATAAACACAACAGTGGTCACCGAACTATAATAGTCAAACATGACAATTGTGGTTTACTGTTGGTTTCTACGATGTAAGCTCTCAGCATATCTCAAATCTGTGTCTGGTTACACATGCTGTGTGGGTATAAGACGGGTACGCAGTATTATCACGGATAATTAGCATATTCTGATGCATACCATTTAAAAAAACACAACATAAATTGCTTTGCTAATTACTCAAAAAAGATACAATTTTGTATTTTTGTATAGTTATTTGTTGATGCCATATGTAATACTTTAATAAGGAATATAAACAATTTTGCTACACTTTAGAGAGAATTGTTGACTGATAATAAATAATTTAAGACGGAATAATATAATGTTTAATCATCGGCACAGTCTTATGAGCACATGGGCATAGCTGTGTGCCCACAAACTCACGACTACAAACCTGTAGTAGCTGTCTTGTTCCTAATTCTACAGCGACTTTCAGGTGCAAGAATGTCAATTCTGTGATACATAAAGTCATTTCCTGTAAATAATTGTTATTTTTTGTGAGTTTTTACAAACGTGAAAATGAAGATATGTGTTAAAACTACGAATCGCACATTTGGTGAACCCGTTTGTGTATGTGTGAATGGCAGGGGCGGATCCAGTAAAATGTATTGGGGGAGGGGGTCCAGGCCTATAGGTCGAATACACGGGACCGTGCGATTGGGACGATGCTATGCGTAATCCATATGCATTTTCATGCGTTTGAAGGGGGCCATGGCCCCCTTGCCCCCCTTCTGGATCCGCCACTGGTGAATGGATACTCCAAACCCACATAGAACATATTGAGACGATACCCTCATTTTAAAATTAAAATTACTACACATTGAATATTTGTTATTTATGTGTTTGTGCTATCAATACAATACCAGGACAGTAAACGTTCAGCGGGCTTATGGTGACTAAGCGGTTCTCGTCACAGACTACGTTCTGTTTTGAAAATTTTACTTTCTTTAAAAATAGGATTACTTGGTTAACTATTTTATCATCGGTTTGTTATATCATTTGCCAATGAGATGGAACGGTCGAGTTGTTACATATGCAAATAAGCGCCCCGTTGACTAGAAGAGTAGCAAAGATTAACTAACATTTCCATAAAACAAGACTGAACAAAATAACCAGGGTTAAACTTAATTATTTTACACTACTTATATATATCATATTATATCTAGACACGTATACTGATTTCATCATTAAATCTTAGCCCGTTTATTTGCAAACAAATATAATCTTGAATACATTTGTGTACGATGTTTTAAGGACCACAGATAATGATGAACCCTGTATCGTAATATAATGTGGTTACGTTTGAGAATCATATGCAAATCATCAATCACATCGTATTTGCGCTTAATATTTCAAATTCGAAAACCTGAATGTACGTACCTGTTGGCGTATATGAACCCAATTTAGTTTGTCTATCTTCATCAGCAATCACTGCGCATACAACATACGGTATTCCACCTCCAACCTGTAGATAAAATGTACTTGTCATCGAATACATTTGTCGAATTAATTACTGGTTTCAACAACGTTGCTTTCACCAATTTAAGACATTTTACACCCATTTACGGCATTTATTCACCCATTATTTTATTCCTTTCACCGAAGCACTTCGTTGCTAGAAGATAATGCTTTTTAATTTTGTCGGCGTAACGAATCAATGTCAAACCTACCGCTTTGCAGTAATATTTTGAAGGCAATTTGGTAGTTAGCACGCCCTCTGTAGCAGAATCACCTCGTGCTATTGACCTCGTAGAAATGAATGAAACCGCCATAATTTCAAAATTTTTTCTGAAATGAACAAATGATTGTCATCAGTTTATACAAATCAATGCGCCCAAAGAATGCTTGATATTCACTATGTTTAATTCCTTACCCATCGGCAATAGATTTAGACAGGATTGTTTTGAATTCATCTGAACGTTCTAAGGAAGTGATGTGTACGAACACGGGGTCTTCTTCCAAAGCATCTGGTGCTGGAAATAATGGATGAATCAGCGTACGGCCTAATGGAGAAGAAAGACAGTAATTACATGGAAGAATCTATACTAATCAAGAACATTTTTAGCGGTCAATCATGCGATCAATAGAGTTCAATATTTCTGTCGCGTCACCACAAATAATGTCTTAGGATATATTAACCACTGACAAAGTTTGCTAATGAACAAGGGCATCAAAATTATTTTCCATTCGTACTACCAGTTTCTCACCGCAACAATTATTTGACCACCAGTAAGACATCGTCTTAATCAATAACATCTGCTCAATATACTAGTATTTTATGTTAAACAAATGACAAAGTTTGATTGTTTGCGCCTGTTTGATAGGCGGCTAATCAGACGCTGTGTAACATTGCGCGGTAAGCTAAAGAACAAAATGTCGGAAACGGCGACATGTAGCACGGTTACTTCTAAATTCTTCTGATAACAATATGCGTGTAGAGTGTGTTTAGGTTGTTTGCCAAACCCCAAAAACGGCGCTGTTTTTTTTCACCCAGTTTTCCCACATTTTGTTATGCCAACTTTGCAGGCTGCTTGTGGCATACTGCGTCAGCAAAGTGACAAATATTGATGTCGACCATACTAGTATGGGGACTTTTTTAAACATATGAAATACATGTTTTGAAATAAAACGTACATTCCAAAGTCGTACATTACAAATTTAACAAATTGTTGAGATTATACTTTTCCCACTAGTAAAAACAATTGTTTATTTCCGATCTCCGTATTTTGATTTAAGCCAACATCAACATTAGTGTGTGATCTCATGAACGACAGTAAGTTCGCTGCCACAAAAAAATAACACCCTCAGAAACCCAGCAAGTGGCGTTGAGTTACTGTGTTGTTCAAAATTATAAATTTTTCCACAAAACAACTTCACAAATTTACCAACAATGCGTGTTTCAAGCAATTTACAATTTGTTGCTATGACAGAAACATTCTGTCTGTCATATCTCAAAAACCTCGTCTGTGACCTATGTTAAAACAATTATATTTAGTGTCATGGCGGATAAATATGGCTGTCATGAGAAATTGAGAATTTTGAGTATTAGTACCAGTTATCCATGGAATAATGTGTTTATCATGGATTCTTATGGAAAATGCTTTTGTACTGGACATCTCACGCACATCGACTTACCAATATGGAGTTTTACATGACTGAACATGTCACGTACATCGACTTAACAATATTGGGTTTTACATGACTGAACATGTCACGCACATCAACACCAATGTGAAGTTTTACATGACTGAACATGTCACGC